TTCCCATTGTGATCCCGAAGATTAGTGGAAGCTGTTGTGTCAGTGCTGGTGGAGGTGTGTGTTTACCTGGCTTACAACACCTGTGCCTTATTCAGCACAATAAGCTCAACACTGCGTCATAGCAACTGATTTTATCATTTAAGTCAAATCAGGTGTTTTACTGGTGTATTTTGCAGAACAGATTTGTTAAAAAGAGGCCTATCAGTGTATTAGTGTGACATATTTTCCTTTATTCATGCAGTTTTGTGTGCATTTGATGAATTGCACTACTTATAATCCATTAGCACTACTTAACATAATTGTTCCCACGAGTTTCCCATGTATTTAACACCCTTTCTGACAAAGTACGACTGTACTGTGCCAGTGCATGCCCTATGGCATGAATGCATCAGTTAGGCCACCATCTGGTGGCTTGTGCAATATTTGTCCTGCTGTGCTCTGCAAGTGCCCCCACCGAAATGGCAGGATTGGTGATGTAGAAACAGCTTGTCTGAGACATACAAGCCTTATTTACAAGCCTGTACCTAAAGGCAGAAACCTGCTGGCACGCTCTGATAAAATCTATAATTTTGCATCAAGGAGTCAAGGTAGCTCACGTATTTCTATACACGATCAAAGCACAGATCAGTGGTATTGTGTGAAAGTACGTCATGTACAAGAACATTCATGCGCAGCCACAAATGTGAAGTATACCATATAATTGAGCAAAAAGGCCAGTAAGACTGAAAATGTGCATCCCTCCTCTCTAACCCTCCCAGTGTCTAATAAGTTACCATGACAACCAGAGTGGAGAGGATTGCCCTCGTTGAGCTTGAGCTCCCTTTTGTTGGAAAGGTTTCCCTGTTTCTCCTGTGGTCTGGCATAATCACCTCATGATAATGATACATAATCTTCTCGGAGACAATAAATTCCCCCTGAAAATGTCTTAAAAACCGAACAGAGGAGGCGACTGAAAGACGTCTGTGCCGGGAGCAATTTTAAAATCATTCACACTGACTCAGCATTCACTCGTGCATTTGAAAAGCTGCTGCAACATCAGAAAAGCCGGATAGTTCTTTGATGAAAACGCTTTCAGTGGTTTTGGAAAAACACAATATATGCGGACATGTCCCTGTCCTATTCTATGTAAATACAAAAGTAGTCTGTTTTATTTTTTTGCATTTTCATACTCTTTGGGATTTTTGTGTGTTATAGCAAACCAAATGTAAAAAAAACATGTCACAGTCACATTAAAAGCTGAATATTTGAATAAAATGAACATAGATTGTTCATTACTATCTACAGCAGCAGTGAGGAAACACTCATTGAACCACTCATAGCATTCCCGTAATCAACACTCCTGCACCTGTTGAAGAGGATTAACATGTGAGCCCACTTCCACGTCTATAATCCCCCGTTAATATGCACTTCATGTAATAATGAGCTGCTTGACTTCTCTGATAGCACGGCTTGATTCTGATTCAAAGCCACCCCATGGCTTGTAGAGCTCCTTCACTGCCTCTGCAACCAAACTTTGTTCCCCTGTTTTGTATATAGCCCTCCACAGCACCACCCCTCCACCCCCTCTCTGTCTTTCACTACCTGCCAAGGGAGCACACATCTCATACGGAGAATCAGCTACTCATCTTCTGGCGCTCTGATCTGAGTAGGCTCCAACTGACGACTGAGGGGGCACAGGGCATCATTTACCACACGCATGCTCTACAGCGAAAAACAAATGAAGTTGGCCACAATATCCTCCTGTTTGTTTCCAAATCACTAGTGGTACAGATTAACCTTTAATATAATTTAATGTTTTACATGGGTGATAAATGTTAAAACTGGGAGAAAATATATGAGATTATTGTATGTTTAATCATCAAATGAACACAGGGACATGTCAGTGGTAGTGTAACGGTATACAAATTCCATGTTTTGATGCATACCTCAGTTTTGCGTCGCTGATGGCTGTGTTTTTGGTGCATTGAAAGGTGGATCATTGGCTATAATTCTTACTGCAACATTTATGTAATTAAACATTTGTATATTGTCAATGATAAAACACAAACACAACTTTTAATATGTCATTAATAGCCTGTCATTATTACAAAAGTCTCCAACTTTTATGTTCTCAAAACTAAATTAAATGAAATGCAAATCTAAATATCATAAATACGTGTTTATAATTTTTATAATTAACTTAAATAAAAGAGTTAAAGGTTCAGTGTGTATAATTTAGGGGGATATATGGGCAGAGATGTTATGTAGTATAATAAGTGCGTCTTCTTTAGTTTATTATCACTTGAGACTAATGATAGATATGTTTTGTTACCTTAGAATGAGCCATGTACATCTACATAGGGAGCAGGTCCTCGTATATGGAGGTCACCATGTTGCACCGCCATGTTTCTACAGTAGCCGAGAGCAGACAAACCAAACACTGGCTCTTGATAGGGCCATTCACTTAATTAGCATTAGCACTGCAGTTAGCAGCCCCTCCATGAGGAGCAGCATTGATAAAATGCTGATTTTTTTTAAAATGTGAAACTGCTTAATTTTGTGTTTTTATTGGTTTAAATCACTGGGTGCATTTGTTTTGGAGAGGAAGAAACCTCTGTTGATAAATCTGCTTATGGTATCCTCCTGAACAACGAAAACTGAAGGAACTCTAACCCGGAGAAGTTTTAGCTGGTTGTAATCTGTAATCCTCACCGCTAGCTGCCACTAAATCCCCCTAAATCCTACACACTGGACCTTTAACCTGACTAGCCTGATTTATGTAACAGACGACAAATTGTCATAGGAGCTGTCATACTCCAGAATTTTATTTAGACATAAATATTTTTGTTTTAAGCTAATTTTATTGGGTAAAAAGAAGCAAAAAAGTCACACACTGAACCAAATAGCCTGTACCAAATGAATGGGAGATTTATGTACTGTTACACCTCTACATGTAAGAATCAACAGCAGAGTAACCACAGAAAACAGTAGAACAGACATTCCCATTCAAATCAACTTAGCAGGCTGGTCAGAGCAGCAGCCATTTTCTTGTGTACTGTTGCCATTGCAACTGTTGTAACAGGCTAACTTCCTGTAACCCTCTGTATCAAATACTAGCTGTGTCCCAATTCAGGGTCTGCATCCTTCGAAGGGCGAATTTGAAGGCCCCTTACGTCACAACGCTGCGCGAAGGCTGTCCCAATTCATTCAAATTCGAAGGCTCCTCCAAATGCAGCCGACGAATTCGCCCTCCTTTTCCCTTCATTCGGAGGATGCACCGCGACTATCCTTCGTGGCCTCCCATATCCCAAGATCCTTTGCGCGCCTTTGTTCAACCCGGATCTTTTTACAATGGCGGCAAGCTTGAGCAGCGGCATCGGCACCGGCACCGGCACGGAATATACTTTTAAATGTAAGTAACGGATTTTTACTTAACGCCAGAAGTTCAAGGGGCATTAAAACCTGTAAATGGCTGTTAAAATACCTGATGTTAGTAACGCTAACACGTAGCCACCGGAATGTAGAGCCAGCTCCGCGATGTAACGTTAGCTTGGCTAACGTTAACCTGTTGATACGAGGAGCTTAGCCTTTAAAAGTAACGGTAAAGCCTAAAAACCCTTCACTTTGAAATGTTACAAGCTCGGATGGTGACTTATATCTTATTGTAACTGTGGAGATGTTGTTGGCTGTGTATACCTCACATCAGGTTAATTTGTTGTCGTTGTAAGTTGTACATGTGCAGTTAGCTCCTCTTAATTACAAGAGATAGGAGCTGTCGGGGCGCATCTCTCCTGCGCCCAAAGCTGAGTGCAGCTGAATAAATAATGTTAACGGTGGGTTTATTTCTAGGCTGTAAAACTGTGAACGTTTGGATTGAATGCATAGCTAACTTGAGTAGCATTATTATTGTTATTATCGTTATTATATTGAACAATCAAATCTTCCTGTTGACATAACTGAAAATATGCTTTACATGTCATTTTGTTGTAGGGAGCAAGGAGCAAACGGAAGAGTTCATTAAACTCCGTGGTCAAAACGACCATCTGTTTACGGGGGCCAAAAACACTGCCACACTTGGATGGAGGTAACTGTTAAGGCATAAATAAATAGCCCATTTGTACTCTATACATACTTGTATGTAACAGTTACTTAATTTAAAATGAACCCAAATCCTGTACAAAGAAAAAATATAATCTTTAGATCACATTAAGTGAATGTTGTTTTTGGGTCGGGGTGGGAATTTTATGTCTGTCCTGATGTCACCTTTTGTGAATCTTTACATATCTGTGATAATGTGATTTTTTTTGTGTTTGCCTTTTGTCATGCTTCTCTCTTGTTTAGAACAATCCTGCAAAAAATGGGCCTGGAGGGAAAGGTGGAGCCCCAGCAGGCCAAAAAAAAGTGGGACAACTTAAAAAAAAAATACAAAGTATGTGCAGGTTTGGATAATGATATGGAAACTACATTTGTTTTACCTAAGTTAATAAATACTTTGATAAAGAAACGTAGAAAAAACCTCCAAGGCACCCTCCCAAAGTTGTTAAAATGCCTTTATTCTCGTGGCATGGTCATATAAACCTTAAAACCACAGTCCTTCGACGCGTTTCAGCATCAAGCCTTCATCAGGAAGTCAAACAAATTAATTTTCTTCGTTCTCTTTTCTTCGTTTCTTTATCACTACATGAATTGCATTGCAAAGAGCACCTCAAACATATTTCTTTTTGAGTCCATGAAACACTCCTTTTTCAAGACTTTTTAAATAAATACTTTAAAGAAAACTGCTGCTGTTGTGATTCATTTCCTCTCCCTTAGGAATGCAAAGATCCAGGGACAGGACAGGGGGTCAGCGGGAAGCCCACTGCTGCCACCTGGCCCTGGTTTGTCCTCATGGATGAGGTTATAGGACAGAGGCCTTCGATGGCACCTCCTGTCCTAATTGCCTCCATCCCTGAGGACACACCAGGGCCAAGTGCTGCAGTGGGTGAGCAGCAGCAGCAGGGGGAGGAGGAGGAGGAGGAGGAGGATGAGGAAAGGCAGCCAGGGCCAGCAACAACAGGCAAAAGAAAGAGAAGAAGGGGAAGAGATAATGAAATTATAGACCTGATCAGGGAAGACATGAGGTTGCAGAGGGAGGCAGAGGAGAGAAAGAGAGAGCAGAGAGAGGATGGAGAGACTTTTCAGCTTATTGGAGAGGATGGTTGACAGACAGTGATTTTTTTTTTTTTGGATGTTTTTTTTCTCTGTTCGATTAAGTTCTGTGTTTCTTATTTAAAGTGTTAATTAAAAATATTGTATATAGTTCTAAATTAAAATCTTGTAACCTTGTTCCATTTTCTGTTCTAAATATTGTATATAGTTAAATTAAAATCTTATAACCTTGTTACATTATCTGTTCCATTTCTTATTTACAACTAAAGTAAACTTTTGAACTCCTTTTCAGTGACAACACAAGTAATTTATTTTTTCTGTGATTAACAAATATTTACAAAGATACAATATGAACATTTATAACTATAACTATTGGGTATTCTTAACATGTACAACTATTTACAAAAGATCAGAAATTACTATTTATAGAGAACATATATACAGTTTAATTATTGGCTGAGCAGGAGTCCCTGGTGGTGCTGCTGGACTGGATGGGATGCCACAATAAAGACCCTGGAGTCTTCTGGCTGTGAGTGGGACATCATGTCAGGGGTGGGGGATGCATGTCTCCACTGTCCACCACATCGTCCATCAACGGGGTTTGCAGGGCTGACGCAATCGACGGCTGCCATGTCACTAAAAATGTTTAAAAGAGAGGCAAGAATAAAACACACAAAATACTACTGCACAACTTTTTAAACCCACCACAAACTACCTCAACAAACAAAACTTTACAAAACACTTTAAACAGGAATAGCTTTAAAATTATTTTACTTGCCCTCTAAAGGTAATCATGGTCGAGGACACCCTCCTCCAGGGCAGACACCTCTGCAGACAGCTGGTTCCGCCATGGAGCACCACTGACTGCCTCCAACCCGTTCTCCCCCTCATCCTCCGGCATGTCGTCCTGCACTTCATCCTCTGGGGCCATGATGTCACCAGCACCCAGGCAGATGTTGTGCAGGACGGCACATGCTGTTATGACCTGGAGAAAAGAAGAAAAAAAAAAAGATTAATTTAATGTAAATGTAATTTAATTTTAATTAATGTACTGGTATTCACCATTTAACAATAATTCTGTTGTGTCATGACATACCTGAGGCACAAAGGTGTGGTGCACCTCCAGCGCTTGGAGGAAGATGGCCCTAAACCTCGTCTTCATCATCCCAAAGGCACGCTCTATGATGGAGCGTGCCCTGGAATGATGGCTGTTGAAGCGCTGGGCTCCCACACCTTGTACCGGCTGCTTGTAGGGAGTGATGAGGGGGAGTGGATGTTGGAGGCACGGGTACCCACCGTCTGCCAAGATGAAGTACCCTGGAGGAGGGTAGATGGCACGCCTGTACAGTGGGCTGTGCCGGAGTACCCTGGAGTCGTGCACCGACCCCGGCCAGCCCACGTACGTGTCGATGAAGCGGCCCTGATGGTCACAAAGTGCTTGCAGAATTATAGATGCAAATAGTTTGCGATTCCTATAGCATTGACCATCAGGGCCGCTTGGTGGCTTGATCCTGACATGGCAGCCGTCGATTGCTCCAGCAGCTTTTAGAAAAGCTCTGTGTCTTGCCAGCCCTGCAAACCCCTGAGTTACTGCCGCCAGGTCGTCAGCGGTCTTGGGGAGGTAGATAACCCTGTGGCGAATGGCCACCACCTCCTCAGTAACTCGATGAACGATGCGGTGAACAGTGGAGCGAGGCATCCCAAACGCCCTTGAGACCACCCTGTATGATGTCCCACTCGCCAGCCAGAAGAGAAAGACCAAGGTCTCTATTGTGGCACCCCATCCGTGTCGTCTTTCCTGGTGGAGAAGGTCCAGCAGCACCGCCAGGGACTCTCTGCTCAGCCTGAAATCTCGCCTGGTGTCATGATCATCAAAAAATATTTGGAGAACTGGAACATTCATATTGATGCGGCAGTACATCGGTCTCGTCTGGATGGGGAAAGGAGGGTAAGAACAGGAGAACATAAATGATTAAAGCAACAATAGCTATTTAATTTTAGTTAATAAGACAATGCTAGTTAATGTTATACCTTAGATCAATAATGCTTTATTTGTCCATCTATCCACTTTGGCTTCTCAATATGGTTTTGATGTTTAATGACACATTTTAATACTGAATTAAGTCAGGGTTATTTACAGGGTTCGTACACATTTTACTATTCAATTCAAGCACTTTATAAGCCCTTTTAAGCATTTAAACTAAAATTCAAGCACTTTTCAGACCTTGAAAACACAGCATTAAAATTTCAACATTTTCAAAGATTTTAAGCACCTGTACGAAATCTGTATCAAGTGTAATGGTTAAATGACATGAACCACATATATATATAATGTTATGTAGCGTTTGTCACTTAACGGTATCGTTTATTAACGGGTATATTAATTACCTCGAACTACGCTAGCTATGTATGAACATTAATGTGGGTTAAAATAACAGGTTTAACGTTACCTCCCCACAGCTCTCTCCCAGCCGGAGATAAACGAGCCGCCGGTGTCGCTGTCGCCGGAGCCGCCTCTCCTCTTCCTCCAACAAAAAATATATTAAAAAAAACAAAATCAAAACCTCTGGCTCCATCGTCTGTTATGTTTTTGTGTCGTCTGTCCGTTATGTTTCCGTGTCGTTTTTTAAGTTTTCTGTCTGTTATGTTTCTGTGTCGTCTCTTAAGTTGTCTGTTATGTTTTTCGTCTTTCCCGGGCTTGGGCAGCAGGAGTCATGACGTCGTGACGCAACCCCGAAATGCTCCGTAGGCTAGACTGTCCCATTTATCAACGTGACCTGTCCTTCGGAGGTGCCTCCGAAGGATCATCCTTCGGAGGCTGCGTAGGCCGGGTCCTCCGAAGGATGCAGACCCTGAATTGGGACGCAGCTACTGCATCTAAAGATGGAGACATGTTTCCACTTTCTCCTTCTGTGCAAAAATGAAGCCAAAACATCTCAGATAAGGCCGTTGCCATCTTGTGCTGGTGACTTCATTTGGAGCCAGTCTTCACAGAAATGATCTCTGTGGTATCGAGTTACTGCCCATACAACCCTCCAATCAATCACTACCAGCACCACTGATTGCGAGCACACAGATTGGCTCACACAGATGTCAATCATGATGTCCCACCTATTTTTATAGCATCAAATAACTAGTTAAAACCAAACCTATCTGAAAGATGACCACTTGAGGATACATCAGTGTGATAAGAACTACCTAAAATGACAGAAAACATCTTTAGGAAAAAAATATTTAACGTGTACTTTGATGTGTCAGTATGGCCATGTTTCATCTGCTAACATGGAGTGGGTGGGGTTTAGGATCTTTACTACAGCCAGCCACCAGGGGAGGCAAGTCGTAAACTTACTGACAAGTCGTAAACTTACTGAGGTTGTGCAGTAACAACTAAGGAGCAGTGGAGTAGTACGCTTTCCAATGAGCAACTGTTACTTTTAAATCTGTAACTTTTCCCTTTTTTATGTTGCCATTAATTGCATGGTTGAAACATGGTGTAACGTTAATGTAGCTGCCTCCAAAGAACAAGTGAGAGTCGCTGCTCAACAGACAGCTGAAAAGCAGAGAGAAACAGCGTGCAGATCAGCATATTTTCACATCTAACTCTGCGAATTGGGGGCTTATTTCAACCAAACGAGAGTGGGGGATTGCTGGGTTTTAATTTGTTTCTGTTGAGATTGAATGAAGTGTATTTTACTATGAAGTAAGAAGGCAATTACGCTAGTCTTAGTTTGGTGAAAAAGAGAATTGGTGTGCTGTTGCTCTTTTCTGCTTTAATAAGAAAAATAGGAGTAAGAAGAGGCCAAACAGAGTTCCCAAACTAACGTTAGTGAGTGTGACACACTCCATAACAACTAAAAACAATCGCCATTTTCTTTTGTATTAATCAACTGACCATGGAAAACAATTCATGTCTGTTGTATTCATTCTATTCTATGGGTGTAACCTTCACACTAATACAACAGCATGAATATCACCGGATTAAACAGCCACATCACTTTGTTATAAAATCTAATTTAAAAAATCAAGCCACTAATTTTCTCATTAAATGACCCTGTCAATTAGCTGACATAACACCCACAAAGACAAGCATGTATTACATTCAGCTCTCAAGCAGCGCCCACTTTCCTTTTACATGTAGCTACACAAGGTTCAGTCATTTTCTTGTTCATACAGATGTACCACATTCAAGGATAATGAGAGATGTTTTCATTTTCTCTCTCATTCTCAGTGAATCCCAAGACCACGTTATCTGCCTTTGTTATGGAATTCTTTGTTTAATTATGAACCGCTGATTAAAATTCTACTCCCATCACAATACTGAAGCACACACACACGCAGACACACACAGACAAGAATGCAGAAGCTGACATTTCAATATCGATTCCCAGCTTCAGCATGGAGATGGAGGATTGCTGCCACAGAAAAGCAGGGAAACACATCAAGGTGAGCTCGTGATAAATGAGAGTGACAAATGGTGTGACATAAATGTGAAAGGTCACGTGTGGCATTGGTACACAGTGCACCCCTCTGACTAGGAGAGTGAGCCATGTCGTTATCTCCTCTTCCAGCTCAAAGGAGGGACCAGCAGGGCAACGGCCAGCTAAATGTCACATCTGCCCTGCCAATGCATACCGACGGAGTGCGTTGACAGCTCTGCAAAGCCACAGGCTGCCGCTGCTTTGCCTTTCCATTATAAAGTACCCATCCCAGCACTGGCACACAATAGCTACTGTCATAATGTCACCTGAGTGCCTCGCCTCCAGCAGACAATGGGCACAATCACCGTTGCTTGGTGTGTCCAAGTGTGTTTGGAACGATAACAGTGTAACCTGGACCTTTTCTCAGCCAACTGAGAGCATCCTTCTCCTGAGCTTCTCTCTCTTTTGTCCTTTTCTTTTAAAATGCTAGAAATCCATCTTTGTTCAGAGCTACATGTAAGGACACCCTGCCTCTTGTGCTTCGTTATTCTTGAACTGTGAGGACAGCTATTATAAACCACCATAAAAAGGGGGAACATGAACACTGCTACCTTACTGTGAATGACAGATGTCGAGCTGTTTGTGAAACCTGTGACTGCACGTCGGTAAAGATTGAAAAACACTTGTCACTCCTTTTACTTTGTGGCAGATTGATGGGAGATTGCCGCCGATGTCTAAAGGCTGTTTGTCGCAGGATGAATGTGTTTTTCCACACATATTTGTATCTATATAACCGGCATCATTCACCACACTGCTTTCTCTGTGAATTACAGGGAGGAGACTTTAAAGCCACGGGGGGAAAAGGAGAAGAAAAAAAGAAATGTGACAGTTATTGAGGGATTATGCGTCATCATTGACATTTGCAGAACATTTTTATCAAGCTGTATTCATTATCTGGTGAATTACTCCCTTTTTAGCACCTAATCAGCCCGCTGCGGATTAGCTTCAGCTCATGCAAAATTTATTTCATGCTTCAGCTTCCATGGAAGCAGGGCATGAAAAACCACTCAGACCAGGGAATGTGCCACGGGTATGTAAATAAATGACACGTGGGATATCTTGAATTTTATGTGGAAGTCTCGTTGAACATAATAAGCAATTATTTAGAGATTCTTCAGCATACCATACTATTTCACCAAGTACTCTTGATGTACTTCAAAAAAATCTATAAAAATACAAGAGTGAAAAACATTTCAGAGGATGTCAGAACATTGCGTTCCTTCAGCCTGTTTGGTATTCTTTCTGTTTCATGTTACCCAGACAAGTTGCACTGTGGCCGACCTTTAACTGGTGAGAGAATTAAGCTATCCACCAGGCCTATTTATATGGAGAACAGCACCTTATTAATATGTTAATACCTGCCAATTCTTCCCCGCTTCACATTTAAGAGAGGAATAGCTTGACCTTTGCTGACAACCTGCCAACAAAGTCAAGCTGGCCTAATTTAAGAAAGTTGTTTAATGTCGATTGCCCTTTGATCCGAGGGAGCACCAAAAGTTCGGGGTAATACGCTGATGTGTGAATAACAACTGGGAGTGACAAATCATACCGCTATCATGTAGAGGTATGCAGTGAAATGAATCCACAGCTGTCTGCCAGATCTGTTGGTGTATTATTATGTACTGTCAAACTGACTTTATAGCAATACATAGTTTTTGATTTTGATGAAAATTGAATAATTTAACAAGAATATTTATAAGTCTCTAAACTCCTAAACTGATCAATCTAGTTTAGTTTTGTGGAAAACAAGTTAAGGTAGTTTGTAAAATGTGCCTTTCAGTTATCATTTATGGTAAGAATGGCACTTCTTTGGACCATATTAATAAATATTTAGCCCCTTTTGGAAGTCCACATTTTGTATACGGTCAATGTTTGATACCATAGGTACTTAAATCCGGTACTTAACTCATTTATCAAATCTGAATCAGATGAGAAGCTTCCTGCCTGAATGTTTTATCCATAATTTTTTTCATAATGCATACAAGTATATAAATATATGGGCATGGTGGTGCAGTGGTTAGCATTGTCGCCAGAGCAAGGGTTTCTGGTTTGAACCTTGGTTGGGGGGTTCAAACCCTGTGGTGGGGGAGCCCTCCTGTGTTGAGTTTGCATATTCTTCCCTTGTCAGCGTAAGTTTTCTCCAGGTACTCCGGCTTCCTCCCACAATCCAAAGACATGCAGGTTAAGTTAATTGGTGACTCTTAATTGGCCATAGGTGTGAATGTGAGCTTGAATGGTTGTCTGTCTCTATGTGTCAGCCCTGTGATAGTCTGGTGACCTGTCCAGGTTGTACCCTACTTCTCGCCTCCAGCCCCCCTGCGACCCCCAACAGGATAAGCGATTACAGAAAATGAATGAATGAATGAATATTGAAATAAGTTTACTAGGGTCGGAGCTGAGTTTTGTGAATCCCGGTTATTTTGCCATGTGCAAATCAGATCCAAAATGGACTAGAGACCATTTTGTGATGGGATTACGCCAGCTGCGATACAGTGATCGGTGACTGAAAACAAATGTGGGCCAGGGCCATAAAGTGGGGGGAGGCAATGGCTCCTTCCCCACCTCCTACACCCTACTTCCAGCCCACCTGCTTGGAGCACAACCATCTTCAATACTGGCCTTCATTTTAATCTCAACATCACACCTGTAAAGTTTTATAACTGCATCTTGCATGGTTGTGACACTATTGAGCTGATAAAATCTGTCCACAGACAGACAAACAGACACATATAAACACCTGGCAAAGATCAAAAATGTCTCCAGGACTATGTTTTGCCATGAAAACGCACACACAGACTCACAAGGTGATGAACAGTACCAGCCGTTGTGATGTTTTCCAGCTAGTAAAAATGCAGTAGTGGAACTCAACCCTACATATCATAGATGCTGGCAAAAAATATATCCAGAGAATACAAGTGATACATGTAAGAGAAGATCTCTGCAGACCTAAATATGGCCTATTACAG